GGGCGTGTGGATGGGCACGCGTGGGGGGAGGCATCCCGCTTGCGGGGGGCTCGCCCTCGGGAGCAAGCGTAATACCGAGGTGCAGAGCAGGCTTTTAAGCGGGGTTCCAAAGCGGTCTTAGTGCGGTGAGGGCCAGGACAGCTGCAGGGGGGGTTCGTTTCCTCGAGTCCTCCTCGCATCCCCCCCGGCGGGATGCCTCGTGCAGGTGTGCGATGTTAGCTCCTGGGGCAGAGAAACCCCCCTGTCCAAACTTTAACATTTCCTCTGTAAGGCGCAAGTGTCTCTGTGAAAGTCATTGCTCCGAGATGTTGTCCTTGGATAACGAAAATGGGTTTTGGGAGCATTTCGGGCGGGAAACGTAGCCGGGGCTGAGGAGACCCCGCGCTCTGCACAGCCGGGTCCTCCACCTGTGCTGAATTTTGCCCAGAAACTGGACAAAAAGTCACACTTGATCCATTTTGCACCCAAAAGCTGGGCAAGAAGGAGACCGAGGAGGTCAGGTGGACTTGATGATGGGCAAAATTTGGCCAACGTTAAATTTTTCTGCATGCAGAGCCAAGACCGTGGCTCTGGGGAGCCGGAGGAGCCCTCAGGTGTCATCTCCAAGGGTCCCTGTTGGTGTGTGGCCCATGGAGGTCTGCAGTTACCACAGCAGGAGTGCTGCAACCTGGCTGGGTGCGTCAGCTGGTGACTTTTTTCCGACCCAAATTCTGGGTGGGAGCGCGCTTCAGAAAAAATGTAATCTTGTTTTAAAGCGGGTGGTGATGAGTTCAGCACAATCCTAGAAAGCTGCGCCGTGTTTAAGTACCCGCACAGCCAGGACATCCCATCTTGGCCGACAGCATTTGCCTAAGTCAACCCTTTTCCATCACTGATTTGCAAAGCATCCCATTCTTTCTTACACATCTAATATATAAATCACTGGAATCTGTCATATCTTTAACAAGTCTGATTTCCAGCGCCTTGTCGGTTGATTTTTCTACCTGAAAGTGGTTTGCGTGCTTCTAAAGACCCTTTTCCCAACCAGTTAAAGGCAAAAGTCAAATGATTCTCACTTAAAACTTGCCTTGCTTTACATGCGAGACAAGTTTTCCCCAGAAAGGAGGGGATTTCGGTGTTATGGATAGCATCGGGCTCAGTTTTACCAAATAGATAAAAAAGGCACTTCGCTTCTTGTAATTTGCAATTAAGTACCTAATTAATTAAATGCTTGTTAATTCAAAGACTGCCTTTTGTGCAACCGTCTTTGAAGAAGTCCAGCCTAAAAACAAGCAGAAAGAGAAGAAATTAAAATGTTGCTTTTCTTGCCTGATTTTAATTACTCTTCTTATCTCTGAGCCAATGTAGCGCCCCTGGACTGTGGCACAGAGGACCAGAGGTGCACGGGAGCTCCCGGCACCAAGCACCTTTAGGAAGTCACTAATATTATTTGTCTAATTAATTGATTTTCAGGCTCCTCCGTGTTGCTCTCCTAAATCATTTCAAGCTCGACACACAGAAGTTGTTCCTCCGTGAGCAGCCGTGGGGCGTTTGACCGATGGTTTTGACAGTAGAGATGAATCGAGGACGCAGCGCCCGCAGTCCTGACCTGGAATTTGAACTCTTCTTCGGTGCCTCTCCCTCCTCTCAGAGGGAGAGGAGGCGGAAGATCTCAGGATCTTCTGATTGCCATCGATCCGAGCTGATTTGCTGAGCATTGGCTTCGTATCATGTCTGCGTGCTCCTTGATAGATTATTTCAGTCTGAAAAAACCCCTGTAAGTATCTTGAGAGGTGATAATTAGATGCTCTGATCTAACATTTCTCCAGCATTTAGCCATTGCCTCTACCACCAGCACCTCATTTAAAAAAAATAATAAATCATGAAACATAAGGAAAACCATGAGATAACAGGAAAAATGAATGTTGCTGATTTTTAAGCCTTGACTTAACAGTTTTTTTCCTTTCTGATTTTTTTTGGAGGGGAGAGGGAACTGAATCATATTTTCATGGTTTTTTTCCACATCCATGAGGGCTAGACACTTATTTCTTTAATACAGGGGAAAAAAACCCAATAAATTGAGATTTCCAGATGGTAGCGTGACCGAAAGAAAACCCGAATACATGGAAATTCATGCCAAAGTGGTGAGGTCTGGTGATGCTGTCTCATGTCCTGTGTTATACGCAGGAGTGGGAGGGAGGTATCTGCCTCGTGGTTGCCATGCCAGGGGCTGCCCCTGTCCCTTCCCATGGTTTCTGGGGGGTGGGATGGTCACATCTGAAGACAGAGATGTGAGAAAGGGTCTCCAGGAAGGAAAACACATGCAGGGGTATCCATGCAGCCCATTAGTAGTGGTTACGGATGTGACCCTCTAGAGCTGAAACTGAACAGGACGAGGCTACGGAGGTGGGCACTGTGCATAACTGACTGCACTGATTAATTAACAGCACGCTTCTTGGCATGGGTGATGGTGGAGCATCCTCAGGTGGATCTGCACGTGTCCCAGTGGACACGTGCACTGGTCCCTCCTGCCTGCACCGGGGTGAGTCTTTGCATGGGCAGGCAGGGAGCAGGAAAGCGGCTTTGCCAGCAAAACAAGCCAAGAGGGAGCAACGAGCCACATCTCCGCTGCAGCTTCAGGTCGCTGTTGCTGCACCCAGCGTGCGTGTACCCCATACTTCTGCTGGGGCCCCACGGTTGAGACAGCTGCTGGAGGACGTGTGGGATCAGAAAGGGAATCCTGTGCATCCAGGGGAACATCCTTTTGGTGCAGGATCATAAGCAAAACCCTAAAAGAGTAGTGATGGATCCAGCAGCCCTGGGGAGAGCCTGCCCTGCTGGAACCACCTGCTTCATGTAACTTTCATAGAGTTGAATAATGGTTTTCTAGAGTTAAAAAACGATCAAACAGCTTTTTTTTTTTTCTTCCCCCCCCCAAAGGCTTTTTTGCTGTCTGCATACAAATTCGCCAGCAGAAATTCCGTGATCTGGAGCTGTTTGGTCTGATGCCATGAGAACGGTCTGCTCTGCCCACCTTAGGAAGTGCAAAAAGGAAAAAGAAAAGATAGAGCCCTCCATGCTGCAGCCCCTGGATGCTGCCTGATCGCTCAGTCACATCAAAGCTGGCTGCCTCCTGTGCCGATACGAGGACGTGACAGATGTCCTTAGCCTTTACAGGTGCAGTGCCTGCATTTCTTCAGTCTTTTTTCCTTGGATGACTCAGAGCATGGATTATTAGCAGCTCAGACTTCTTTGGCCAAAGTGCTTTGTTGCATATACATCCGGGTTAAATCTGAGCAATATTTGTGATCCATATAGGCTTCTGACTTGGTTCTGCATTTTGGTGTTTACAAAATGATCAGTGTTTGAACTCTCCCTGTCCTGTTTCTTAAATGTCAGCAGAAACTTTAAAAAAAAAAAACAACAAACCACGCAGCCTCCCCCTGCCATGTTTGTAACCAAGAAACTGGCATCACAAAAGCATGAGAAAATATTGCTGATTAAAACCAGGGTAAGAAATGACAGTGAAAGTGACTTTTTTTTTTTTTCTTTCCTCATTGCAGAAGACACAATGAAGTGGCTGGTAAAATGGGGCCAGCTGGTTCAGCCCCACTTGTGCTGAACATTAGGTTTAATGCACTGAAACTACTTCCACTGGCATGTGGAGCTGATCATAGGCTTTTGATACGAAAACTTTAACTTTGGTGTGATAATTCAATTTCTCCTGTTATAAAACACATCTCACAGTATGGCTTTTCTCCCACCTCTCTGTTTTGACAAAGCAAAGTAAGTTTGTGCTATCGTCGGCTTTCCTTGCCTCATTTTTCTCTTCTTCCTGTGTCTCATTAATACACAAGCGGTATTAAATAATAATGATGCCAGTAGTGGCCTCTGCTGTGCCTCGGTGTTTGCTTCTTTTTGCTTCGAGGAGCAGATGTTCCCTGTCTTTGTTTTCTGTTGCCAAACAGGGACTTTTCCCCTTTAACCTTTGATAAGGTGCTTTAATAGTCTCTGACGTGAGATTTTATCAAAAGCCTTGGCAAAAGCCAAATAAATGATACCCGCCTAGCAGCTTTTATTAAATATTTCCATCGTGTGTCACAGCAGTTTAAGGAAGTGCAGCTTTCTCTGCGTTTTTGCAGGCTGTATTGATCTGGTGCTCCCTTTGCCCGGCTGCCCTCTCCCCAGCCCTGGTGGGTCAGGCTGGGCTGAGCCCCCCTGCCCCTGCAGCCAGGTGAGCATCCGCCGTGGAGGGAGCACCTATGGGCAGTGCTCCTGATCAGGGCTCTGCAGCCCTGGGTGCTGCTCCGGCACCAGCCCCTAACCAACCTGCACTGCGTACCAGTCAAACGGGGTGACACTGCCTACGAACGGTCAATGGGGTCCGACTAGTCTCGCCTGGACCCCATTTTCCAACAGTTGCTGATGCGAGATGGGGAGGGCGGCATGTACACGGATGCTGCTGGGGTCTCGCTGCTTCGTTCTCCTCTTGCTGTGTGCCTGGCCAGGAGCCGCTGGCTGCTTTTGCACCAGCAGTTAAACACCATTGTGCTTTAAAACTGCTCTAACCCTTCCTATAAAGAGGCACCCTCGCAACCATCTCTTCCTCATCCATTTTGCAGCGTTTCACGCCTTGCCTCTGCACTCGGCCACCCCGAAAGCCCCAAGGGAAAGTCCACCTCCCAGTTTCTACCTATTTGTTTGCCTGGATGTCTACATCGCTCGTACAAACAGTCATCAGCCCTGGGCTGGGGTGGTGAGGGCTGTCCCTGAGGTGGGCAGGCTGAGTTGTAACTCAGGTGGAAGCGTGCCTGGCTCCAGGAAGCCTTGTGGGCAATTTGGGAAGGTGGCACTTTGCAGCTGAGACATGCCTGTGTGCTCTTCCCGCGGTCTCTTGCAAGAGCCACTTGCAGTGTTAGGGGTGGCTTCTGCTGAGTTCCCCTTGGCCTTACCCACATTTCTCCAAAATTGTATTAGATTTGGTGTTCCCACCCCTGCCTTTGCTGTCTCAACCTGTTTGACATCCTCACCATGTCACGCCTGGGGAATGTTTCATCGACCCCCCCCTACTTCTGCCAGGCTGGAGCAGCAGACACTGCAGAGCTGCTCTTCGTTACTGGCCATTTGGTCACCATATGGAAAAGCAAACAAGCGCATGGGGCTAGGCAATGCCGCAGCCTCTGCCACACTCCCAGC